GACCTCCTGAGGTTCTGGGTCAGGACTAGAACCCGGACCTCCTGAGGTTCTGGGTCAGGACTAGAACCCGGACCTCCTGAGGTTCTGGGTCAGTACTAGAACCTGGACCTCCTGAGGTTCTGGGTCAGGACTAGAACCTGGACCTCCTGAGGTTCTGGGTCAGGACTAGAACCTGGACCTCCTGAGGTTCTGGGTCAGGACTAGAACCCGGACCTCCTGAGGTTCAGGGTCAGGACTAAAACCCGGACCTCCTGAGGTTCTGGGTCAGGACCAGAACCCAGGTGATCTTTGTATAAAGTTGTGTGTCCTCTGCAGTCTCGGCTCTCCTGGGCGAGGAAGATGAAGAAGCTCTTCATTACCTGTCCAAGGTGGAGGTCACAGAGTTCGAGGACATCAAGTCTGGATACAGAATAGATTTTGTAAGTGGGTGGGTTCTGTGTGGTGGGTTCTGGTTCTGGTTGCACTGTTCTCTGACCCGGTTGTGTGCTCTGTGTTCCTGCAGTCATTTGATGAGAACCCGTACTTTGAGAACAAAGTTCTGTCCAAAGAGTTCAACGTGAACGAGAGCGGAGACCCCGTGTCCAAATCCACCGAGATCAAATGGAAATCTGGGAAGGTGGGTTTGGTTCTGGACCTTCAGAACCACGGGTAGACCCAGAGTTAACACTTACTGTCCCCCCGGGGGCTCTGTGTCCAGGACCTGACCAAACGGACCGGACAGACGCCCAACAAGGCGGGGAAGAAGCGGCAGCATGAAGAACCTGAGAGCTTCTTCACCTGGTTCTCGGACCACTCGGACTCCGGCGCCGACGAGCTGGGGGAGGTGATCAAAGACGACATCTGGCCCAACCCCCTGCAGTACTACCTGGTAGGCCCGCCGGACCTCGGTTCTGCTTCTGACAGGGTCCAAATGAGTCCAGTTCTTCAGGAGTTCCTCTGCTTGCTTCAAGGTTCCTGACATGGAGGATGAAGAGGCTGAGGATGACGAGGAAGAGGAGGAGGAGGAAGGTCTGGAGGACATTGATGAAGGTGAAGAAGAGGAGGGTGACGATGAAGACGGTGAAGGAGAAGACGGAGAGGTGAGAAAACCTGAGACATGATCAGAACTCACCATTTAACTCCAGAACCAGATGTTCTGGTCCAGTCTGGTCCTGCAGGTCAGACCCTTCACTTAGACCAGGGGGGTCTGACCACATGTGTACAAGTACACAGAAAGTACCACTGAAGGTAAAGTATGTTGTAGTCAGGATGTAACGGTTCTGTCTGGACCTTAATTCTGTTCAGGTCAGTACTAGTTAGTTTAACCAGGTCAGTTAAATGACCTGACCCGGTTCTGGACCAGAGTCCAAAGTCTGGTCCTGACCGAGCCCTCTGACCTGTCAGGGCTCCACTGGACTCCAGAAGGTTTTTCAGGAAATAACCAAACATCTAACTTTAGTTACTTTATAACTCCGCCTACTTTAGGCTGCTTTACTCCCAACGTGACGTCATCACGTGTCCAACGCTTCAGGATGAACACTTTCAGGTCAGAGACCTGTCAGTGTTGTCCTCTGCAGTGCCCAGAGTCGTACAGTACAGAGTCGTACAGTACAGGGTCGTACAGTACAGGGTCGTACAGTACAGAGTCGTACAGTACAGG